CTCATCCAAGTCATTGATAGACAACGTCCGGACTACGAGTGGACCATCAACGGACGACTTTCCGCGCCACCTCCACATCCTACGCCTTCCTCTCCTTCACTACAGATCTCCGGCACCGTCGCCCTCGGAGTGGTTTCATCTCTTGTGTGGTTCTTCTTCTCCCGCCAACCCTAGAAGTAGACAAATGAGCGTAGCCTCAAGGTGAGACAATCGCTTTGTTAACCGCCGGATTCTCGTTGGATTTTCATTTGCTTTACTATTTATTGTTGTCGTTATTTTATAGATCTTGCTAATTTAGCGGTAATAACTTGCCTAAGCGTAGTTGAAATCTAAGATCTCTTGGAAGGTTCAATTTTGAGAATCATTAAGATTGTATTGTCATTATTTTAACAAATTTTATTAATTTTCTAAAATCCAATTTCTGGTATCACATCAGATTAGGTCTTCGTCAAGTTTACACCTAGACAAACCCATCTTTCTAATCAAGCTAGCAAAAAAGTGCTGCCCTGGTGTTGGGACCATCCTTAAAGATTTTTTCAAGTGTAGACGACTTAGCTTGCCCAGTTTTGGGAATCATCCTTGGGGTTTCTCGATCCTACTTAGCTTGTTTGGGTTATTGGCTCACAACTGAGCTTATTTCACCCACAAACCAGCTCAGGCCTTCTAGTAAGCTCATGCCATAAATGACCTCAAGCTTAAGCTGAACTTGACTTAGCCAGTGGATTGATTGATAAACAACTCTTTTATTTAAAATCTGAATGCTGAATTTTTAAATACTAGAATTAATTGGTTTAAGTGCAGCATTACAGGTACAAATTATGTAAAACTTCTACTGTCTTTTTCCTTATTTTTCTCCATCTTCCTCCTCTCCACTCCCCATGCCCTCCACAAACCCTCCCCTCATGGGCAACTTGATTTTGACCTCACTGTGGAGTTTTTGAGATTAAAGTGCCAATAGTGAGCTTGAGCCATGCTCAACTTGATTCCTAATTCATTATTGGACTTCCAAGATTAAGCTCAATGCGCTCGATGAATTTTTCATCATATTGTAGTGGCCTTATCTGATTTACTGGAATTTTTAGTTAAGTAATACCCAGTTTCAAATTCCCAATTCTAACCACTGTATCAATAAATGGACTAAGGTTGTATACCTTGCATATAACTGCATATAATCATATGCTTCTTCAATTTATCTGAGATATTGTTCTTAAAACGTAATATAAGAAGATGTTATTTGCATGAACTTGGAATTTATCCATTTCCACTTTATTGTCTATCTATTTCCTTAAAATAGTAGACTGAATGGCAAAATTTTATTGCAGGGTCGTGGCGGTCCGGGATTGACATCAAGCACTGGTCGATTCTCTTCTTTGAATTTACATTTGTTTGTGGAACTTACTCCTTACAAGATTGTTTTTGGTTCTTTGCCTATATATCCTTCACTAATCCTCTTGAAACATATTTACAGATAGCCAGAAATCATTAGCTGGTCAACCATTTGTTGGAGATGCAACCCTCCGTCAAATATTAGTGCTTCCTCAGGCAGCTACAGCTGCCTCTGTTATGGCCGAAGCATTAGGTGTACCTCAGAATAGTAGTCTACCACAATTCAGAAATGGTCTTCCCAGTGTTCCTGGTTCTGGAAATGATCCTTTGACCAATTACCTGGCAAGCATGTCCAGATACCAGCTGAATGAAATTATGTTGGAGATGAAGGTGACTTTTTTTTTTTCTCGACTTTTGCTCCCCAAATATCCTTAGATATGTATTAAATGAAATTTTAACCTCAAGTTTTTTTCTAGGCCTTGGCTACAAAAAACAGGGCTCAGGCTCAGCAACTACTGCAAGAGAGTCCAAAATTGACAAAGGCACTTTTTCAGGTTACTTTCCCTTTAATCTTCCAAATTTTTGTATGAACTTATTCTGCCAAAAACTTATCTACCTTCTGGCAGGCAGCATCCAGTTGAGCCTAAGTACTGTGCCAATAGCAAATATCAACTGATCTCTTACGCTTAGTTGCCTAGCTAAAGATTAATGTGAATAGAAATACTGACGCGTGGTTTTCTTTTTGTTTGTATCAATGATAAAAGCTTATGCTTTTATGAGGGAAGTTCTGTCGCAGTACTTAAAAGTATGGAAAAGACATTTGTTGTTTCCATTTGCATGTAGTTTACTTGGAAATTTCTTTTGTCAGAAGCTGGGCATATCACTCATGTTACTGCGACTGAAGATGTTGATAATAGCAAGGAAGATTCAAGTGCATACCACATAATTTTAATGTATTTAAATATATAACATCTAAATTTTGATATTTGCCTCTATTACACCAAAATATTTTAATCACATAAAAAATATTACTAATATTATTTTTTTTAAATGAAATGAACCTTTTCATACAAATGTTTTGATGTGATTAATGTATAAAGTGTTATATCGAAGTTTATGTATTATATATGCTAAATACATAAAAATAGCATGCTACGAATGTTAATCCTCCTAGCAATAATGATCTTTTTATTTATTCATTTATTTAGAGGGATCATACTGATAGGAAATACTTGAATATTTCAAGTAAACTCTACAAGATTGATAAAAGCAGTGGGAAAAACTCAACAATTCCAATGAAAACAATAAAAAACAGTAGATTTTATTGTAGGAATCAAATCAATTGAAGAAAACAAAGCGAAGATACAATTGATCCTCAATTTGAGAGGAGGATCGTTCTCTCCCAATCTCTAGATGAATCTAGAGCCCAAGACACTAAGAAGAAACTACAAGAGAACACAATAATCAAGCATAACCGTAACCCTAACCATCTCTTCCTATTTAATACTTCAATTCAAAACTCCTCATTCAAAAAATTCCCTCAAACTCTAGTCACCCCTCTCTTCTTCCTGAATTTGCTTCCTAGTGGACCCCACTAGGATTTGCGGCAATAAGGAGGCGGCCCGCCTCCTGTATACATGAGCCGGCCCTCTTTGGGCTGGTTGGGCCAGTTCAGTGAGAACCGGCCTATCACATACATGGCCAATCTAGAGTAACAGTTGAAAAGAATATTTTTATTTTTGTGATAAGATTCTCATTTTGTGTATGATTCTCATCCATTCAAGCTTTTCCTGATCTGAATAATCTAAAGTGTCGTTTTTTATTTTTCTTGTGCCATGCAGGCAGAAATTATGCTTGGTATGGTAACGCCACAAATGGTGGGCCTCATTTCTTTAAATTTTGATTTTTGCAGCTTAAATAGAATAGTTTTATGTATCAATGCTGATTTTTTCCCTTGTCGAATCCTTTTGTTATGTTGATGGGCATGCAGCTGCAAGTGGCAGGTAACCAGAAAACTTCAAGTGCAGTAGCAACGTCTTCAGTCCAGGATAATAAACAGGACCTCAAACCTGTGACAACCTATCTTGGTCAAGTTGCTTTACAGAGAGAATCGGCGATTGAAACATGTTTGAAACCATCTGAAGCCCAGGGAAAAAATGTTTTGCCAAACTCTGCAGTTTTCCAGCATTCTTCACTTCCCCCTAAATATGTACCTCTTCAATCTTATCGGCCACCTCTGCCACAAAATCAAATTCCAGCACAAGGAACAATTCCAGGATTAGCCGATGTGGCTATGAACCCAAATGTCCAAGTTCTACCTTTACCAACTTCCGTAAGTTCTTTACCACAAGTTCAGTCATCTCTATTGCACCATTCCAGACCACTTGGAACTACAAGTATTGGCCATCAACATCAAGGGACCCTGCCAAATACAAGTCTGCAGCAGTCATTTTTGCCTCATCCTTTGACATCCCAGGTAAGAGTTGCTCGCTAAAATATTAATATGCTTGCTTTGTACAATTTAACTATTAATATTCAGGAAAGCTTAATCTTCTTTAGAAATTTATATCATTTTTTGTTACTGTATAATAATTATGGTCAATCACAAGATATATTTTTACTATTTTATTGAATTATGTACCCCACTAGATGCTCAGTTCATATATTTAAATGTAGTCGTACAAAGTATTGTTTATCCAAAGTTTCAATGAACTCAAACATTACTATTAAACATGCGTATTAATTTTAATGAGAACTTCCGTACCTATAGTTGATTGCCTGCCAGTCCAAGTCTCTCACCTTGGTTTTTTATTGCCATTGATACCGAGTTTTTGGTTTAGTTAATTATAGAAGGTACAAAGTTTGCCCTTACGCTGATTAGATGCATGGAAGATGAATAATAGTTCTACAATGTAGGCTAAAGACAGGTCTATGACAAAGTTAGTTTTGCATGCACATTTTATTGTGCCTGCGCGTTGCACAATAGATGAGTGTAGGTGTGGCAATAGGATGCTTGTTGTGGAGGAATATTGTGTTAGGCTGGTTCCTCCTTAACCGACCCCAACTCCTGAATCAGCCTACCCAAGGCCGGTTTATGTCTATAGGAGGCGGGCTAATACCGCCTCCTCTCTCCTTGCCGCCCACAATAGTGGGTCCCAGTCCCACTATTCAAATTGAATCTAAAGGGGGAAAGGAGGGGGCGGCTAGGGCTTTGGAGGGAGTTTTGATTTAGAAAGTTTATGTATTAAATATGAGGAGGTGTTTTAGGGTTAGGGTATGCTTGATTTGTGTTCTCTTGAAGTTTCCTTGGCACTTGGGCTCTAGACTCCTTGTCTAGAGATTTGAGAGAGAACAATCCTCCTCTCGAATTGAGGATCACTTTATATCTTGCTTTGAGTTTGTTTGGCTTTGATTCCATTTTTGCAATCTATCATTTTTGGAGTGATTTCATTCAGATTTTTGCATTATTTCTTCTGTTTTTACCAATTATCTCTAGGGTTGCATGCGAATTCAAGTAGTTCCTCTCGGATTACTTGCGAATTCAAGTATTTCCTATCGTATTGTTGCCTGTGAGCTTTTAGCTGGCGTAGTTTAATTTTGATAGGCAATGGTCAAAGGAGTTGCAATTGATTAAACGATTGTCTCTAGTTTGTCCAAACATCAGCAACGCATCAGATGTTCTTCTATAACCGCACATATTAATATTTTTTATATATAGATCTTCTATTGCATCAGCAAATGCATAGAACTGATTGGTTATATTTAGTTGTCTTGTATGCTTGAACCTAATGATCGCTAATTGCCTTCAAAGATAATAACTAATCGCTTTTGTTTGTGGATTAAGCCTCCTTTTTTCCACTTAATTTGATGCTTCTTTCTTAGTATTGGCCAATTGAATTAGGAGAATTGTATATTGTCCCATCTTTCTTAATCGGCCCCAGCATTTTCACCAGTCTGTAGGGCAATGAAAGCAGCCATTTATGGACCCAAGCCTCAATAATAAAGGTTGCCAATGATGGCTATTTGCATTTGTTCATGCAACAGATCTCCTTGCACTTTATTTGATTCTTCCTTATTATTAGCCTAGTGGACTCAGCAGAATTGTTTATTGTCACCTCCCCTTAATTGGCTTCAAAATTTTAACTTATTTAACTAATTACAGATTTCCTCGTTGAATCATCCACTGCTATCAAGCGGGCTGGAGATGCTTTCGAGGGAAGCTAGGCCATCTTGGTCCAGCCTAGATTTAATTTCTGCATCAAGAATCAGCACAGAACCAAGCTCTGTAGGGTTGGTAAAGCAAAATGAAACGTCAAGTGAAGCGATGGGGCTATCTAGTCATCCTTCAAAACGACCAAGAGTAGAAGGAGCTATTGCTCATAATTTGATTAGTGGAAACTCTTCTGTGGCTGGCTTCTCCTTAGCTCAGTCTTATGATTCTGGCCTATCAGCTGGAAAACAAATATCCAATGCAGATGGGCTCCAGCACACACAAAAGCAAATGCCCCAGGTACTTGATTTTCTTTTTTATTCATTATTTGGCAAGGGTCTTTCTAATTTTATTTAAATCGTCTTCAAATAATCATTTTTACTATATTTAACTTGTATTTACTTCTTCACCTCCCATTACTTGGATCAATATAGCTAGTATCATTGATTATTTTAACAGATATTTCATGCTTTCACACGCTTATCACATTATGTCCCAAAGATCTTTCTAATTTGACCGTGTGACTTTGACTCTTAAAGTTTACTAGTTATATGATCATATATTCATTAATTTAGTAATTCTTTTTCATAATATGTTTGTGGCCTATGAAAAACACTCACGTGCTTGTGGTTTTATGTTTTTTTTTTCGTCTATCTTTTTTTATTCGAAAATGAATGTAAGCAGCATAGAGTTCAGAAGATAAAATAGGATAAGGTCCGAGAGATTTCCCATGTCCAATGTTGTTGGGGAGATGAGGAGTAAACACCACAATGAAGAAACAAGCAAGAAAGTAAAAGCAGCGGAAAAGTAATGAACATCAGGATTTAACATAGAAAAACCCAAAATAGGGAAAAAATCACAGAGCCACACCACACCAAAAAAATTCACTATGAAAATTGAGAGAAATAAGTATAGATCTTTCTTCTCTCGCTCTCGTCTTCCTTGTCTTCTCACATGCACCATTCTCAATGTCCGCAAACACAAAAAACAAGAGGAAGCCAAGTACCCTAAGGGGCACCCTTCATAAAAATGAGAAAGAAAACCTTACAATCCACTTCGCAATGCTGCGGTGCCAGTTTGGGGTGCTGCGGCGCTCAAACCTCTGTCTAGATCCGGTGCGACATCATCTATATACTGCTGCGGCGCTCTGCTCTCTGTCTTTTAGCGCAGGGGCGCTCAAGTATGCAGTGCCGGGGCGCTCAGATACGCGGCGCCGGAGCATTTTACGGGAAAAAAAATTTCGGGTGCTTAAACCCCCTGCACCCCCTGCACCCCCAGCGAACACGACAAGCTTTGAGGTCCGTGACAATAGAATAACCATATTGATCAACACAATCAGATTCTACACATAACATGTACTATATAGAGATATTTTCAACCAAATTAAGATCCCATGAGTTGCATCATCCTAGGTTAACATGGTTGGCTTAATTTACCAATGGCAGATGATCAAAAGGCCACATCATCCATTGAGTCTAATTAATAGTCATGGATTGCGTCTTATCAGATATTGCAATTAAATTAATGAGTAGTATATCGAAGGGTTTATCTCTTCAAAGTGGAACCCACTCAGACAAAAAAGGTGTAAAGGGACTAATATAGCTTGTTATAGTTCAAAGGTTTAAGGATATGATCATTGAAGATTCAGCTCATTGAGTTGATTCATGAAAAGTTGGCTTAGAGGCAACCAAATATTGTTGACTGCAATCAGAATAATCAAGGCATGGTTGCTTCTTGTTCGATAGCATTGGCATGGCTAATTCGGTTGTTCGAGATGAGGTTAGGCCTAACCCAACATAAATGCACCCAAGGCACATAGTGATGGTTATTTGTTGTTATCATGAGGATCAATCCTCGAAGCTCTACCTCTTATTGCTTGCATCTCATGATAAAGGGTTGATTTTCTTATCAATGCATTTCCTTGACTAGGGAGCCTTGAGTTAAACCAAGTTGGATCACTTCAAAACCAATTTGTAAGCCTATGGTGGGGCAACTCAGGTTTATTTGTGTGTTGAATTTCAATATTTGGAAGGTTGAGGCATACTAGTTTGATTACAGAGACTTGAAAAGTGAGACTTATATGATTATTGCCTATCCCGAAGATGTATGTGGAATTTTTTGGGGTTATGGCCCAACCCAAGAATATAGATGAAACTTATGTGATTGTAGTACAGCCTGACTATGCATGTGGGACTAGTGATATTTCGATTGACCCTAAGATGTATGTAAGGCTTATGAGATTATGGCCTGACTTGAGAGTATAGATGATACTCATAGGATTATGTCGTAACTCAAGAATATAGATGAGACTTATGGGATTATGACCTATTCTAAGTAATGCAAAGTCTATTCCTTTTAAATATAAAACACTTAGAAGGTAGCTATGTGAATTTACGAAGCTTCAAATTTTCTTTGCGAATAAGTGACATTTATAACCTCTCTTCGAAGGAAGGCTCGATTTTGGGTCTTACAACCTCACCTCAAAGTTCTAATTGTGGGTCTTATGACCCCACCTAATAGGTGCAAATTCAAATATTCATCAAAAATATATTTGTAGGACTCATGCGAATATGAAGTCAAATATCTTCGTGAATGTATGTTAATAGGCCCCAATGATTAAGATTTGGTGCATATTTGCTGTTAGAGATGCCAGCAGTAGGGCTTATTATCCCGATGTTGGAAGAACCTACAAACGGGACTTGCATTCTCTTGATCATAGGAAGGCTCATTGGAAGTTCTTATGACCTTGTCCTATAGGTGGGGCAACTCAGGTCTATTTGTGTGTTGAATTGAATTATATAACTTGGATTTGATGTTAGGCTAATACTTTCAACTCTATTAGTAGAGATGCCTAAGGGTGGAACTTGTAACCTTTTGATTACTGGGAAACTCAATGATGAGGTCTTAAAACCTTGTCCTAGAGGCGAGATGGCCAGGTAGTGTATGTGTTCATAATGACTAATGCATAAAAGTTGATTAAAGCGTAAAGCATAACATTTTGCTAATGGAGATGCCCAATGATCCAGATTGAAACTTCGAATGATGGAGGCTCGTGAAGTAGGCCTTATTGCTTTTACATTAGAAAAATCTACTTATGGGAATTACCATGTGGGATCAAGGATAGCTTGACATTGTGTCTTACGAACTCGCTCTTGCTTCTATCATCTTAGTATGCCACTCTCTTTTGTTCTCAGTAATAATTTTCTTGAGCAGCTTAACCAGTGTTTTGTTGAAGGCCTCTACTAGGCCGTTTTCCCTTTGATTATATATGGATGAGTATTGCTAATCGATTTTATGTCGATCAACGAATTTATGAATTTTAGTGCTTTTGAATGTTGTATCTTTGTCCAAGATTATGCGGCATGGTACACCGAATCTGTAGACAACATTATAGGTGAAGAAGTTGATTATATATTCAGATGAGTCTTCTTTGAATGGAGCCGCTTCTGCCCACTTAAAAAAATAGTTAGTTGTTGTCAGAAAGAAGTGGTGTCTGCGGATGTTGGCGGATCTATCGGCCCAATTATATCAGTGTCCCAACATTCAAATGACCAAGGTGCCACTGTAGGGTGCAATGGATTTGATGGTTGATGTATACATCACCGTTGATCAAACACTTATGGTACCTCTTAACATGATCAATATAACCCTTTATTAATGCTAGTAAATAATAACCTATTCTCTTGATTTTGATCGCTATTTTGGGACCTGATTGGTGTACAACACAAAGTTCTTCATGAACTTCTACTATCACCTTATTGGTTTCTTTGGTCCCTAAACATTTTAGCCACATTTGTTCAAAAGCTCTTCGATTCAACGTATTTTTGACATACATGCATCACAACGCTCTTTTTCTGATTTGTACAACTAGCGATTTATATGTTGGTAATTTGCTTTCTCTAAAGCAGATGATAAAAGGTTGCCTCCAATTATCTTGTTCTTCGATGTCCAAGCACTATCATCATGATTCTCAAATGACACTAGCTTTGCGCCTCCTTTTGACTACTTGATATTCACCTAGTTGATTTTCAAGAATAACTTATTGAGGAGGTTGAGGATCAACCGGAGTTGCATCCTGCTGGCTTTGATTTGGTAATCCCTCTTCCTGCAGGAACTACAAAATTGTTGGCTCCAAGACCCGACAAGTATGGACTCCAATCAACATAGGCTCGTCATTCAAATTTGTCATCTCCTTAGCTAATTTAGCCAGACAATATGTTTTGTTATTTTGATATCGGGAAACTCGAGCTAACTTGACGGATGAAATTTTCTTTATCAGCTCAAGGACTCGCCGGTGTTAATAGGCCAACTCAAGCTTGCTAATTCTATAGACGCCTAGTACTTGATTTATCACAAGCTGAGAGTCACCAAAAACTTGGAGGTTTTGGATTTCGATTGATATAGCGATCTCCATACCCGCTATTAAAGCTTTGTATTCAACCTCGTTGTTGGTTCAGGGTTTGGTTTGACCAAATGAATATCTCTTTATGCCTCCCTCAGGCGTTATGAAAATGAGACCGATGCCGACCCAAGCGTTTGTTAGATTTAGAGGTTGGGTCGGTTTAATCGACGATGCTCCTTCGACGTATATCTCCCAAACTCGTGGTTCCTGTTGGACATGCATAATTTGTTCATCGGACATATCATCATTGAGCGGTGAATCTACATGAATGGGATGTGCAGCGAGAAAATCTGTCAAGACCTTCCATTTTGCTATTTTTTGTGGATATACGTGATATTAAATTGCAGAAGTATTATTGCTCATCTTGCTATACGACCTGTCAACGCTTGTCTTGTTATCAAGAACTTTAGCTGATCGATCATTGATAACAACGTAATTTTATGAGACATGTAATGATGAAGTTTTTAGATAGCAAAAATCAGCGCCAAACAGTACTTCTCAATTGGAAAATAGTGTATATATGCTCCAATTAACCTTCAGCTGGTATAATAGAGTGCATTCTCCTTACCTTCATTATACTGGGCCAGTAGTGCTCCGAAGAACTCTTCCAATGCTGTTGTATACAGGATAAGAGGCTTCCCCGAAATTTGCACTGAAGAATAGGCGGGGTTAAAAAGTATCTCTTAATACTGTCAAAGGCCTCTTCCCACTCTCTGTCCCATTTGAAGTGGACATCTTTCTTCATCTGTTTCGAAAATGGCCGTCACCTACCCGATAGATTCGATATGAATCTCCGAATAAAAGCCAGTTGCCCTTACAATGAGTAAAGTTGTCGAAGGTTCTTGGGAGGCGGCATCTCCATAGTCGCCTTAATTTTGTTGGGGTCGATCTCAATTCC